AGTCTGATCTAGTAGTGAGACCCTGAACACCCTGTAGACCCTTCGCTAAAATAAAAAAAAGAAAGAAAGCATATGTACATCTGTGTGTGTCTTCCTGAATGTTTCCTAGAACCAAATTTCTCATCCTCATCCTGCTAATTCATCAGGCAAATATTCTACCTAGACTAACAAAATATTTGTTCAGAAGCCAGGAAAAAAAAAAAATGAGCTCTTATGTGAGATCTGTGACTAAAGAATGATGGGTGGAACGCATTCCGAGAAGAGGGGCAAAGGCCTCCCTCCAGCCTGCATGACAGAAGGGCAGGGAACTCCAGCTTCGAGACTGAAGCCTTTTAACCAGCACCTACTGTCAAAACGTCGAGGCGCCAAGTCCCTCTCACCTGCCCCAGTCGCGTGCAACAGCTGCGCCCTCACAACACAGAAGTGGCCTCCCAGCGGGGAGAAGAATCAGATCACAGGGCTGCAATTTTGCGGCATCCCTCTCTAGCCAACAGAGCAAGAGCCAGGGAAAAGTTCTAGTTCCTGACAAGGACAGGACACCTCGTTATCAGACTCTCCCCCTCGCGGCAGGCCATGCTTCCCGTCACCCCAGGCCAGCCCACGACTGGGCCAGCTGCACGGTATGCCTGGCCACGGAGTCGACCTTCCACAAGCACCCAGGTGCCCAAGGAAGCCTGCTGTCACATCCTCGGTGTGACGCCGCTGCTCTACACTCACGAACAACCGCTTCCTGGGTCTCTGCCTACCCCAAGCCCCGGTTCAAGTTCTGAATGCAGGCTTTTGCTCTTGCACGTAAGGAGCACCAGCCACAGGCCAAAAACAAATTCTGGCGAGGTGGACACCTCACTAGGCCACCCTGCCCAGGTTGCCTGGCCTTCCCAAGCCTCGGTTTCCTTGTTGGGATGCAGAAACATCTCTTGTGAAAAAGCTCACAGGTCATGGATGCAAGCGAATTGTAGATTAGAAACAAAAACTGTATCTGGGGCCAGGGATTTAGCTCAGGGGTGCAGTGCCTGCCTGGCAAGTGTGAGGTCCCGAGTTTGGTTCCCGGTACCCAAATAAATAAATAAATACAAATCTGTGTTTTGTTCATGGTTGTTCATATCAGGTACGTCTTTTTTTAAACCTTATAAGGTTGAGTCAAATGAGCAAGGTACAGCCCTGCCTGGAACTTGGGAGATTTCCACACACGCTGGGACATCCAAACAACCAGGAAAAGCACAGCAAGCTGGAGGCAGGCATGCTGTCACGACAGACGCTGGGGGCCACCTCAGGAGCGTGGAAGGCCAGTGCTAAGCCCTGCTGCTTGCCCCAAGCTCTAAGCAGCAATGGAAAACCAACATCTGTCTGCCTGCTTGGTTTTTCTCAAACATGCCCACTTGGGGAGAACGGTACTGCTTCTCTAACGCTGCTGCCACAAAGGACAAGGACTCGCTGGGGCCACCTCCCTCCCCTGAAAGGGCCGCATCTTTCCAGGATCCCAAGCCCTGCCTTGTGTCGTGACACGTGAACTCCTGTGGACAGGCTGCCTTCTCGGATTTTCCTCGCTACAGATGAAACACCGCCCGGGACACACTGCCCACAGCCTCCACCCAGAGAGACAGAGGGGCACAGGGCTGCGGAGGGGCGAAGGCCGCTCAGGGCAGCAGCACCTGTCCTCCATTTGGGGCTGGTAGACCTCGGGAGATCCACGGACCAGAGCAACGTGAAACGCTAAGAAGTGAACGCGAAAGCCATAGAGGCAGCAGCCTGACTGACTCTGTACACCGTGCCAGGATGAATGAACGGCCGTCGTGAGATCAAGCAGTGTGGACCTGTGTGGCCCCAGCACAGAAGACGCGACAATTATTCTTCAGTCAGTGAAATCCCAGTGTTTGGACCCAAAGACGTGCTTAGGAACCCACCACCAGGGGGCGCAAGAGAGTAAATTTTCAGAGCAGGAGCAGGTGGGCATGGGGAGGGTGGTACTTCTTGGTATCGGTTTGAGACCCTATCAGAGTAAGTAAATAAAAGTTGAACCTACAATTAAACGTTTAAGGATGTTCTGGTACAATTAAAACTTCAAGAATGTCCTGATAACCCAGAGGACTCCTTTAGTCCAGGGACTAGGGACCTTAGTTTAAATGGAAGTAAGCTACCGAGGCCTTAGAACACGCTTGTTCTCATCAACCATTGACTCCCCCATGTGAAAAATAATTGATCAACTGGACAGGCAAAAGTGAGGCCACGGGGGCTGGGGCATAGACTGGGGGACTTCAACTGAGAGGAGAGGGACCACAGTGACACTCCACTAGGTGCAGGCACGAGATCCCCTTTCCCCTCAGCCTTGTCCCTTGTCCCCATTCAGTAGAGCTATAAACCATGGCTGGTGGATTCGGGGAGACACAGGTGAATGCTATCACGGCCTGTTCCTGCCGGCCCCTTCTGCACACTATGACGGCCGAGAAGCTTTGAGATCTCACATGGAATCACCCCTTGCTGATACCTACGGCCCATTTTAAATTTTCGCAAGTCTCAGTGTTTGTGTCCCACCAAAACGCATACCTGGAAACTTGACCTCCAACGTGACGGTGTTAGGAGTTGGGGCCCTTGGGAGGTGCCAAGGACAGGAGGATGGAGTCCTCAGGAGTGGGATTAGCGCCCTTATTAAAGAGACTCCAGACAGATGCTTTTCCCTTGACCACGTGAGAACAGGAGAAGATGCCACCTAGGAGCCAAAAAATAGGTTCTTTCCAGACACCAAAACTCACTGCGAAACTTCAGCTTCCAGAACTGTGAGAAGCAAATCTCCGAGGTTCCTAAGCCACTCAGAACATGGTATTTTGTTATAGTGGCCCAAAAGGACTAGGAGAGCTTTGTCTCATATCTCATCCAAGAGAAAATGCAAGAATAAAAAAAAGCACTAGGTAGAGCCAGGCAGTCCTGGCACTCAAGAGGCTGAGGTGTCCACTGTGAGCTCGAGGCCAGCCTAACGTGCATATGAAAACCTTGTCTGAAAACAAAAAAAACCTCCAGCCACTGTTCTGCCTGCACCTCAGCTACCCCCCAACCCTTGGCTGGGATGTCCATCCCAGCATCCCCTGAGCAATCTCGGCTCAGCAGCACTGAAGTTTCCCAGACTTGGCTATTAACCAAGCTGCTTCCAAGCGCAGCCGGGGCAAGCCTGCCTTCCCTTGTCCTTTCCCTCACTGTGGAATGGTGGTTTCAAAACCCCCCACCGGAAGTGACAGGCACATACCCCAGTGTGCACCTCAGCCAAGACCATGAAACAGATCCCACGGCCCACGTTTTGGGGGGCAGTGATGGTTTGGTTTTATTTTTGACACAGGGTCTCGCTACGTAGTCCAGGTTGGCCTCAAACTCCTGGCAACCCTCCTGCCTCAGCCTCTTAGTTGCAGGTATTATAGGCATGTGTAACCAAGCCTGGTCCCACAGCCTACTTTTTTTTTTCAGAACCAGGGATTGAACTCAGGCACTTGCGCTTGCCAGGAAAGCGCTTATTCCACTGAGCCATCTCCCCGGCCCCCCTTTTTTCCCACAGTCTACTTTCAAGCAGGTTATTCTGAACCCTCACAGCACAGGATGCAGACACTTCTTACAGAACCCACACAGGGAAAGCCTCACTGGATCTGACCCCCAGGGGCCTCTATTCTTGATTATTCATGATTGGGGTTTTGCATTAACTCAGCCACCAGATTAACAGGACATTGAAAAGTCAGTTTGGGGGGGGGTTGGCTTTTTGAGACAGGGTTTCACTGTGTAGCCCAGATTGGCCTTGAAACTAAGGATCTTTCTGCCCCAGCCTTCAAAGTGCTGGGATTACAAGCATAAACCATCACATCCAGACTATTACTTTTTAAAATCAGATGTATCCAGCTGGGAATGGTGGTGCCTGCCTATAATCCCAGTACTCTGGGGGCGCTGAAGCAGGAAGTAGGCAAATCTATGACTTAACAAGACTGTGTCTTGAATTTAAAAAAAACTGAAAGGGTTGAGGAGTTGTATCACCACTCCCAGCTTGATAAATCTGATTTTAAAAAATGGGGGGTCCTGGCCCTAGCTCAGTTCTTTAAGTGACTGCTCCCACAAATCTGTCAGCCTCAGGTTGCTGTAGTTCGAGCCCCACAACACTCCAGCCAGCCAAAAGTGCCCTGCAGGCATTTGAGGAGCAAAAAAAAAAAAAAAAAATCCTTATGGGGCCAGGGAGATGGCTCAGTGGAATAAGCACTTCCCTGGCAAGCGCAACAGCCTGAGTTCAATCCCTGGTTCCGCAAAAAAATAATAATAATAATAAATAAATAAAAATAATAATAATAATAAGAAGAAGAAGAATCGCTCAGCTATCTCACCGGCCCTAAAAAAAAATCTTTTTAAAATCTTCAGTTCCTAGTTTTTCAATCTGCAAAAATACATTTCTGATCATATTACACTTTCCCTAGTTAACTAAAAACAGTAAGTTTCTATTGACAAGAACATAATAGATGTATAATTATGACAACAAAGGAGTGGTCACCAGGTGTCAAATGCTGAGCTGCCAGTAACTCCGTCACATTTTATTCCATGGGCTCAGACTCAACCCTGCACTCGCTCGCAGCTGTGGGCAAGTGATTTAACTTCTTTGGGCCTTTGCTTCCTGCACCATAAAAAGAGGCCAACAAGGGGCCGGGGAGACGGCTCAGTGGAATAAGCGTTTCCCTGGCAAGCTCAAGGGCCTGAGTTCAATCCCCGGTTCCGCCAACAAAAAAAAAAGAGGCCAACACATAGCACCCGTGTCCTACACTGGCTTGGAGGAGCTGATATAAAAAGTATGTCAGATGGTGAGCCCACTGCGGGGCACACAGAGCGTATGCAGTAAATGCGAACTGTAACATTGTGAATATTGCTATTATTCATCTACAAAGAGCACCCCGGGGTCTGCAGATGACTGGGGACAATGGCCAGTCAGAGACAGATTGCTATTAAGTCTCTTTGTCTTAAAGAGAACCCCTGTGCCAAATCCTGTATGTATGCATCAACCCCCTCAAAGCTGAAGCCTCCCTGGCTACAGGACAGGTAAATCCCCCAACCCCTCCTCCCATGTCCTCCCTTCCAAAATAACGTTATTCACTCTCTTAGTGTTTGTACTGTTTTGCTATCCTGCCATGTGTCTACAAGCAATAGCAGACATCTCTGCATGCAGACTTCATATAAACGTGATTGTGTACTTAACCTGCACTTTTAGACCTGACACACTACTTTTTTTTTTTCTTTTGGTGGTGGTACCAGGGATTGATTGAACTTAGGACCTTGTACTTGCCAAGCAAGCGCTTATTCAACTAAGCTATCTCCCCAGCCCAACACTGCATTTTTTAGACTTGCCCACACTGGTATCTGCTCTGTGTCACCCGATGTGTGGATGTATTACCTGTACATTTTCCCACCAGTGGATACTGAGAGTGCAATTTGTCCCTGATACAGACAATGCTGCAATAAGCATGAAGCCCTGTTTGTTCAGATCCCTTCAGTGACCCCGGGAATCATGATAAGCACTGTGTTCTTTTGTCCTTATGAATACAACACCATGTGTTCTCAGGTTGCAATGAAATAGTGTAGATTTCCTAGACTCCCTTACAGCTACCAGAAGACACACTCCTCAGCTCTGACCAAATACATAAGTAGAAAGGATTCCTGGAGTCTACTGCTTTCCCACTCGGTACTGGCCCTTCTTCTCCTTCCTCTTGTAACACGACACAAGGGCAGGAGATAAGCAGCCATGGTCTTGTGCAAACGTAAGGGCAAAGCCTCTGCAACAGGACAGCAGAGTGGAAAAAGAAATTAACACCTTCTTACCCTTCAGCTATACATGTATCCTTCTAGGAAGGAACATAAAATACTTCCCCTGAAAAAGCTGACTTTTGGACCCACCCCATGGCATGCTGAGACATGACTGAGACTAGGCATGGTGGTGCACTCCTGTAATCCCAGCACTTGGAAGGCTGAAAAACAGGAAGGATCACTACAAGTCTGATCTGTGTAGGGAGACCCTGTAGACCCTGTCCTAAATACGTGAAAAAAGAAATCTGAGTCTTATAATCTAGTCTTAAATACTAAGCCCCAAAGTAGAAGTATTAAAAAAAAAAAAATGACAAAGGTTTTCTCACCTAAGCGTCAATATTTAGAGCAATCAAACCAAACAAAATATGTATCCAGACACTTTTGGGTTCTCATTAAGGATAAAATAATGGTGGAGATAACAGATTAATACTCAAAATATGTTTGCTATAAGCCAGGCCCTATTCTAAGCTTCCAAATGTATTCAATTAAGCCTCGGAAAAAGGGGATGTGTCATGATTAGCCCCACTTTTGATGAAGAGACTCCAAAAGGAATATTAAAAGAGGCTGGACGTGGTGGTGCACCCCTGTAATCCCAGCACTGGGGAGGCTAAGGCAGGAGCATCTTCGTGAGTTCAAGACCAGCCTGAGCTACAAAGTGAGCTCAAGGCCAACCGGAGCTGCATAGTGAGACCTGTCTCAAAAAGATGAAAGAGGGAAAGAGAGACAGAGAAAGAGAAGGAGGAGGAGGAGGAGGAGGAAGAGGAGGAGGAGAAAGAGAGAGAGAGAGAGAGAGAAAGAGAGAGAGAGAAAGAGAAAGAGAGAAAGAGAAAGACAAAGACAAAGACAAAGACAAAGACAAAGACAAAGACAAAGACAAAGACAAAGAGAAAGACAAAGAGAAAGACTGGCTAAATAGCGCAGCAGATTAAAGCAGCTGCAAACAGGCTCAGGGGCCCAGGGTTTGATCCCTGGGCCTGCCACACTGGCCCCACCCCCGGGGCACGATGAGACAGCAATTGAGACTGCTTGTGGTAGCAAACACCTGTAATCCCAGCTCTTGGGACGCTGTAAACAGGCGGATCACTACGAATCTGATCTAGTAGTGAGACCCTGAACACCCTGTAGACCCCTCCCTAAAATACAAAAAGAAAGAAAAAAAGTTAAGTGATGTGACAATCACAATGCCAAGTGGCTAAGATCTGGCTCCCAGGGCCTCAGGGTTCCCAGGGGACCCAAGGGCCATGCGCGCAGCAGTTCTGGGATGGTGTTGGCATGGCTGGCTGAACACTGGTCCTCAAGAGATGTCTACGTCCTCATTTCAGGCACCTGTGACTATGTCACTTTACTTGGCTCTAGGAATTCTGCAGGTGTGATTAAGCATCTTAGGTGTGGGGACCATCCCAGATCATTAGCATAGGGCCGATGGAATTACAAGGGTCCCTCTAGGCTGGGGACATAGTAGCTCCGTGGCAGAGCACTTGCCCAGGATGCATGAGATCCTGGTTCGATCCCTGGCACCACCAAAAACTGGAGATGAGGGCACAACTTCCCAAAGGGTCTGAGTAGTAGGAGACGGTCATGAATGCAGAAGGGTTAGTTTGATACAGGAAGAGGGAGGCCACCACTCACAGGACACAGGGGCCTCTGGGAACAAGAATAAGCAAAAAAAAAATGGGTCCCTTTACAGCCAGAAGCCAGGCTGGTGACATCTGGATGAGGCCCCTATCTGTGGAGTTAGACTTCAGGCCTCCAGAATGGTACAATAAACAGTGCACGTTGTTTGACATCACTAGGCTGCAGTAGTGTGTTTCATCAGCCACAGGAAATGCATCACCAGTGGCCCTGGCCAGTCCTTGCCCACAAGAGTTCTTTCATCACAGAGCAGCT